TAATTATGACATCCTGGGTTGATACATTTGACCTAAAAGGTTGAAGTATTGATTTGCCACCATAGGAAAATAGTTTCACTTTTCAGTTTGTTTTAAATTTTGTATTTAATTTCCATCATCGATAAAAAAAAAGGGATCATTTACTAAACCACCTCTATAGTTTTACAAACTTACTTAAACCTACCTTATAGTTTGCATTTTATTACAACACCTCTTATAGTTTGCAACCTATTTACTTAATCAATCTTTCATTAAGAAATATTTGTTTTGCCATCTGAAAATAGTAACATGATCACCTAAACTGAGTGGAAAATGCTCAAGGGCATGGACCCATGGTTGTTTATTCCAAAAGTACACCAAAATTGAGTGAAAAATGTTCAAGGGCATGGACCCATGGTTGTTTATTCCAAAAGTACCCCAAAACTTAGTGGAAAATGTTCAAGGGTGTTGATCCATGGTTGTTTATTCCAAAAGTAGCCCTAGCACTTTTTTGTATAGAAAATAAAATTGACCAAATAGAGAAAAATAGAGTGGTTGTCCATGTTTTAATAGGGGCAAAATGGCATTTTTTTGTTTTTAGTTTATTTTCATTAAATTTATTTGAATGGATGTTAGGGTTAAAAGTGTCATTTTCCACTTTCATCTAATGGAAGGTCAATTAAGTAAACAAATTGCAAAGTATAGGGGATGTTTTAGTAAAACACAAACCTTATGGTAGGTTTTAGTAAATTCATGAAACTATAGGAGGTTTTTAGTAAATGACCCTAAAAACAATTATTGTTTATCATGTTTAGCTTTTAATATGGTTAATATAAAAATATCATAGATGTGCCCTTTCTAAAAAAGTTCTATGTTTCTTTTTTCAATTTTTTTTGTATTTTTATCATTTAATTATGAGATTAAGGGTTGACATATATGACCCTACAGGTTGAACTGTTGACTTGCCACCAAGAAAAGAATTTCATTTTTGGGTTGTTTTAAATTTTAATTTATATTTCATTTCCAACATTACTAAAAACTAAGTATTATTTATCACAATTATTTTTCTTTAATATGATTAATATAAAATACTAGATATGTGCTCAAATGTTTTTTTTTTGGCAAAACTTTGATATATATTGTTACATAATGTTTTTGTGTTTCTTTTATTTTTTAAATTTTAATTAATTATGATATCAAGAGTTTACTCATTTGACCCAAAATGTTTAATTGTTACCCATCACTAGGAAGATAATTTTATTTTTGGATTGGTTTTAAATTTATATTTCATTCCAACACCAATATGAATAATTATTATTTATCACGCTTATTTTACTTTAATACGATTTATATAAAACATTAGAGGTGTACTGAATTTTTTCTATATATTCTTTTATTTTTTATAATTTTTTGTATTTATTTTTATTTAAAGTTTTTTATTTAATTATGACATCATGGATTGACCCATTTGACCTATATGGATGAATTGCTCACTTGGCACCAAGATATAAGAATTATTCCAATTTCTTGATCGATTTTAAAAAATATGTATTTTATATCGTTAAAAGTATTGAATATAGATATAATTGATAGAATTTATTAGTGAAAATAAATAGCTTAAATATAGGATTCAATGAGAGAATGGGAGTTAATGCCCCAAATATAAGAGTTAATGAGAGGAAAATGAATGGGGTGAAATGTAGTACTTCAAATTACATCTTGTGCCCTCACAATTAAAGAGTGAATAAATTAAAAAATAGGGGTATTCTAGTTAAGGATAGGGCTAAATGAATCATAATGGGAGATTGAGAGTTAATAACTTAAATATGCGATTTAATGAGGCAGAATTGAATGAGGAGTAAAGTAGTTGCTCAAATTACATTTTCTACCCTTACATTCATAGAGGGATTAAATTCAAAACTTGTGGTATTTTAATTTAGTCAAATAAAAGTTGAAATCTAAAGATGAATTATCTATGAATAAGGTATAACATGTATGTGTGTGTGTCTCTTTATGTATGTATGTATGTATGAAATTTTCTTATTAAAACTTACTTTCATGCTGTACTGGTATGCAAGAATCAAAGTATCGGTATCGGGTATCATATCAGACAACTTAGAAATGGACACAATTTGCAATGCGTGGATATAAATGAAAGATATGAAATCTACAACTGAATTATCTATGAATAAGGTATAACACATGATAAATGCATAATTTAATAGGTTATATGAAGAGAAACATTACAACCAACAATACCGGAACTCTAGAACATTTACATCATACAATATTATCACTCTATTTTAATTTTTATTATAGTTTTTTAATTTTATTAAATTTTTGAGAAAATTTATTTGTTTGTTATTTTTATATACATAATAACTATTTTTTAAATAACAAATATGTTTTCATTTTTAACATACAATTGTTTTATTTTACATATAATTATAAACTGAAACACACACATACACACATATAAAGTAGATAAAATAAAAATTATTTTATAATTTTTAGTTTTTATTAAATTTTTTGGGGAAATTTAATTTTAATCTTAAATTATCCACTTCAGTTTCTATAATTACATTTTTCTATTTTCTATTAATTTTGTTGGAAAATTTTATTTGTTAAGTGTATTTTATATAATAAATCTATTTTTTAAATAATAAATAGGTTTTCATTTTTAACATATAATTATGTGTAAAATAAAACACAAAAATCATTTAAGGTAGATAAAATATATTATTTTTTAATTTTTATTAAAATTTTAGGGGAAATTAAATTTTAAATCATTTATTTTAGTTTTTCTAATTATAATTTTCAAATTTTATTAACGTTGAAAAACAATCCAAAAGTGGTCAATATATAATTTTGTCAAACGCATATTGGATCATATCCATCAATATGACCTAGGAAAGGCAACGTGGCATCCCCTGCCACGGGGCGGGGCGGGGCATCCATTCCCCATCGGGGATGGAGAATTCCCAAATTTTCCCCACTCCAAGGCAATTACTTAAAAATTATCTATTTTATGTACAATTTATACATAGGATATATGCATTTGGGGGTAATTTAGAATTGAATTATAATACTTTAGGGGTAATTCAAAAATAAAATTATGGGATCTTAGGATTTTAAAAATTTAGGAAAAACTTAGAGATATTTTAAATATCAATATTAAACCTAGAGATATTTTACTAATTTACCTTTGGGTTCGGGGCGGGTTCGAGGAATTATATACAAAACCCATTCCCGCCCTGTACCCGATTCAGAGAAAAATTATTTTCTCCATCCCCACCCGTCCTTATTTAGAATCGGGGAAAACCCACCCCAATTTTACGGGGAAATTATCATCCCTAATACAACCCAATGCTATTGTTCTAATACGCATTACTCATTAAATATGTTTTCAATTGTCACGTATCCCATATCCATACTCATGGACAGAAATATGACACCTCATTTTGGGTTATCTATTATCATATCGATAATTTTAAACCTTGTCAACATAGCAGTATGAGTAGCATAACAACCCACATTACACAATGGCAAGGAGACAAGATGAACATGATATTTTTTGATAAGCAAACGAATATGAACTTTTTTCTTTTTTGGTAAATAGATGAACGCAAACTTTTAGTCATAGAGTAATTGTATCATCACACCTTGTGCATTCCCTTTCCGTATTTCTTAATGGGTTTTTCTTTGGGTTCGTTTGTCTAATCTTTCTATTTTTCTCTTCTCTAATTTGTAGGCACGCCAAGTCAATCCTGTCCTTGTCACCAAAAGAGATCTATGCTCCATGGGCTCTCGTGAACTTTGTCTCATCCATCACAATATCACGTACACCTCATCCTCCTCCAATACGGCATCTCGGATTAGCTGAACGCTTGAGCCCCATTGTAGAAGGTGTGGGTCCCATATGTTTTATTAGATTATATTTGACATTTCTTATTTTAAAGATTTGTCTCCTTTTTGTATTTAAAAATTCAGGGGCATCTTAATCTAACTGTGTAAAAAGAAGACAAGTCTTTAAAATAAGGAATGTCAAATGCAGCCTTACTGGCATCGAACTTTATCATTGGTTCTACAGCCAAACTGTTCAACTAATCCTTGCTCTATCTGGCTTTACATTGGTTAGAGACAAAATCTTACACACTAAATGAACACAAAAGTGTTTTATAATCTATAGTAAAGTGTGGGTCTCATACGATTGTACAGGGCCTATAAAACACTAAAGCTGCATTTGGAAATGGTGTAAATGCACATTTACATGCTACAAATCAATGCATCTCTGTGGTTCAGGTGAATGCAAAGTGGGATTAGTTTTTTTTTTTTTTTTTTCTCTATATTTTACACACTTTTTGTTTGGCAACTAACATGCAAAACATGGGTGCTTCTCCTTCACATCGTTTTCAAATGCATACAAATCAGGGCTAGACTAGGGTGCAATAATGCACTCAACTGGCATTTACACTGTTTCCAAAAGCAATCTAACATCTTCATTTGTGACCTTTTTTTTTTCTTTTAATCTTTGATAATGGTTAATAAAATCAAAAGGTGGTAAAAAAAAAAGTAGTCCAATTTGATGCATAGGATTTTCTCTCCAATCCATTTAGATGATGTTTGGAATCGATATTGTTTTCTGAGATTTGTTTTCCCATAAAAAGGTGTTGTATAAGCATATTATTTTCTCAAGCTTTCTATTTGATACCATTATTGTTGCTGCCATATAAGCGTTTTTTTTAATGTTAGATAGAAAAAAGAAGAAAACATAAAAAAAAAAAAAAAAAACATTTTTAAGAAGAAACGATATTATGCCGGCTACAGGCTGTGCTGTGGGCCCGATGGAATTAGTTTGAGAGTGATTTTCTGGTCTTAAAAAACATAAAAAAAAGGACTATTGAGCAATTGAGAGCCATCATTAAGTGCATATGGCCCGGGGTCAAAAGCCTATAGCTAATGCCAAATGCAATAGGCTAAAGCTAAGGTGTGGGGTATCCGGTGCTTTTATCTTCCTCTTTTTTCAAACCAAAAGAGTTGGATTTGGATACATTATAGTTCATAGATGAGCCAAAACCAAAACAGCCCAATTTTAACAAAGCTGAAAAACATCAAAGACTCCCACCATCCATATCCTTTCTCTTCAATGGACTGGATTTGGTCCCAACGTTTCCATCTCCTCTCTTTTTCTCTTCTTACCTTTCTCATTGCTCTATCGGACGCCCAGAAGCAGAAACCCTTCCGACCACATTCTTTCATCCTTCCCATCACCAAAGATGCACCAACTCTCCAATACGTGACCCAAATTAGGCAAAGGACTCCATTTGTGACGGTTGATCTTGTTGTAGACCTCGGAGGCCAATTCCTATGGGTGGACTGTGAATCTGCCTACTTCTCATCCTCCTACCACCCAGTCCCCTGCAACTCCTCTCAGTGCTCAGCCACCGGAGCCAATGGCTGTGGGCAATGCCTCTTACCCGCAAGCCCTGGCTGCAGCAACAACACCTGTGTTCTCTTCCCAGGTAACACAGTCACTAAGACGACCACCAGTGGAGAGCTCACTGAAGACATGATTGCCGTCCGCTCAACAGATGGGTCCTCGCCTGCCACCCGAATTGTCTCCGTCCCTCGCTTCCTCTTCACATGTTCCGCCAGATTCCTCTTGGAACGCCTCGCTGGTGGCGTCAAAGGTATGGCGGGGTTAGGCCGGGGCCCAATTGGGATGCCATCTCAGTTGGCAGCTGCATTCAGCTTCCCCCGGAAATTTGCTGTTTGTTTACCATCGTCGGCGAACGTCACCGGCGTAATATTCTTCGGTGACGTGCCTCATAACTTGCTTCCAGAAGTCGAAGTCTCCCGGATTCTGAGCTACACCCCACTCATCACCAACCCTGTAAGCGCAGCGTCAACTTTCACAAAAGGGGAGCCTTCGGTTGAGTACTTCATTGGCGTCAAATCGATTGAAATCAACAAGAAGCCCGTCCTGTTGAACTCAGACTTGCTATCCATCGACGGAGAAGGCGTGGGTGGGACAAAAATCAGCACTGTTGTGCCCTACACCACTCTGGAGACCTCCATTTACAACTCTGTAACTGGTGCTTTCATGGAGGAGGCCATCTCCATGGGCATTACGAGAGTGGGAGCTGTGGCACCATTCGGGGCATGTTTTAGTTCAGAGAGCATCAGAGGCAGTCGGATGGGAGCAGAAGTTCCCAGCATCGATCTGGTGTTGCAGGGGCAGAGTGTATGGAGGATCTTCGGGAAGAATGCAATGGTGGATGTGAGGGAAGGCGTGCTGTGTTTGGGGTTCTTGGATGGAGGTAGGAACCCCAGAACTTCGATCGTTTTAGGGGGTCACCAGTTGGAGGACATTCTTCTACAGTTTGATCTTAAGACTTCGAAGCTGGGATTCAGCCCATTGCTCCATTATAGACAGACGAGCTGTGCTAACTTCATCTTCACAACCACTGCCTCTTAGCTCCCCAGAACTTGTCGTATTAATTGATCTCAGTCCGTGCTTTTCCTCCTAATGAATCTAGATCTCGTTTTAATTATGCTTACTGTTGTTTCTTCCCTCGTTTTTGTTTACATCTCTGTCCAATTAATGTTCTCTGAATTACTATAAGAATTCAGATTAAAGAAAGTTTGATTCATATCTTCAGTTTTATATGGATAAGGCGTTGTGGCACTAATTCATCTCTCTATCTCATCATCTGTGGAGACTCTCTCTGTCTCAGAGAGAGAAAATCTTCAATTGAAACAACGAAATCTGTTTCTCTGTAGAGTTTTCCCCACACGAAATTTTCTCTGATTTCTGCAAATTCTTCTGCTCTCACATTAAATAAAAAACACTAGAAAATTATATGGGTTCGAACCGGTCAGGGGTCCGGTTACCGGTTCGAACGGTCCAACCGTTCGACTCGAACGCCGGTCCGTTCTGATAAAAATTTTAAAAATGGTCAAAACTATTTGAACGGTTAACCGGCCGGTTCAGCGGTTTGTTGATCAAAATCAACGGTTTTAGGAAAAAAACGGTTTTGAAGAAAAACGGAACCAGTCAGGTGACCGATTCCCGCGGTCCGACCATCCGATCCGATCCAATTTTGAAAACAGTGAGCAAAACCCATATCAGATTTCAAATGAATTTCCCAGATTTTTCGGTATAATACTGTTATTTGGGAATCTGCCTCTGAATTATCGAACCCATCCTTCTCCTTTAATGGAAAAAGTAAAATTTCATTCACATGTGAATATGTGACAGATATCCGATTACACGTCAGTAAATTAAAATTTACGTGTTTAATCCAAAAAAACTATGAAGAGACTCTGCGAATCGGACGGAGGTTGAAGTCGGAACACGTCATTTGTCTGGTCAAGAGCGAAGAACTGAACCCCAGTCTCGAAGCACCCACATCCAACAGTACAAGATTGTTCTCTAACTGAAACCCTCCCACCACGATCGACGTCCTTGCGTTCGGCCCTCCGTCCAGGAACCCCAGACACATCACATCTTCCGATACCTGAACCATCGAATTCGCACCGGAGATCCTCCAGTACACCATCTCGCTCTGCAACACCAGATCGATGGTGGGCACGGACGGACCAGTTCGCGTGATATCCACGCTTTCCGAGCTAAAGCAGACGCCGAAAGGTCCCACCGATGCCACTCTCGTCATGTTGAAAGCGGCAATGGCAGCTCTTTCGAAAGCTTTGGTAAAGATTGCATAGATAGAGCTCTCCATTGTGCTGTACGGAACAACTGTGCCGAGCTTGGTTCCTCCGGTGCCTTCTCTGTCGTCGATCGAGAGCAAGGATGCATTCAACGATAGCTTCTTGCCGCTGATTTTGATGGACTCCACTCCGATGAAGTAATCGTCAGGCAGTAGCGGGTTGACGATCACAGGGGTGTACTGTAGTGTCTCCAACAGGTCGATGCCTGAAACCACCGTATAAGGCCCATTGCCGAAGAAAACAACTCCGTCCGATGCGGTTGACGATGGCAAACAGATGGCGAACTTCCGGTCGAAATTAAACGCTGCTGCAAGCTGCGACGGTAACCCAATTCGGTTGCGACCGAAGCCCGCCATTCCCCTGACACCGCTCGCTAGATGAGCCAAGAGGGGAGTTGGGGCACACGAGAAGAGGAAGTGATGGGCGGTAGCAATTGGGCCAGGCTCTGATCCGTACGCAGAGGGAAGGGCTATCACGTCTACTGCAAGCTCGCCGCTGGTGACAGTGCCGGTGACGGTGTTCTCTGGGGACAAACCACAGGTGTGATTGTTACAGCCGGGGCGAGGAGTAGAGAAACAGAGGCCGCAGCGTTGGGCATTGGCGGCAGCGCACTGGATGGAGCGGCAGCGGACAGATCGATAGGAGGAGGAGGAGTAGCCGGAGTCGCAGTCAACCCACAAAAATTGACCGGCAAGATCGAGGACAAGGGGGAAGGGGGTAAGCGGAGTGCCTTGATAGATGCGAGTCACATATTGGTGGGTTGCACCATCCTTCGTAATGGGAAGGAACAGAGTGGCTGGTGTGGAAGCCTCAGACAGAGAAAAAAAGAAGAGGAAGAGTAAGAGGAGACGCAGAATTGCCATTGATGAAGATTGAAGAATGAGAGAGAAGAGAGAGGGGAGATGGCCAGAT